TTCTGGTACCAATTAACCGACCCCGGAGGGATGGAAGGCTTGGTTGGCCCGGGCGACTCACGACCCAGGATTTGATCCCGGACCGCTCGCGTGGTAAGCGTGCCACTTGCCACTACACCACTTCCGCCCTCGATTTAGTACCACTTAAGTATAGAAGGGTTTATACTCGACGAACTCGTAGGTTCCATGTGAGAACTACGGTTATAAGATTACGCGTGGCCGATAAGCAGCCACGGTTGCGCTCACTGCGGTCTGTGGTTTGAAAGCGCGGCTACGCTCTCAGAAGCGATACCTCGAGTACCATATTTGATACTCGCGAACCTATTTCACTTGTTTTCGCCGTTGTTGGGGTGTGCTATTTGGCAGTGTCTCACGGTTAGAGAATGCCTTCAATTAGTTGCTAAACAGTTTCGGTAGATGTGCGCAGTGCCACGTTGTGACCTGACGACACACATTTTGGTTCACCAAAGGCTCCAATCTCTTTTCCAAATACGTGATTTCTTTGTTAGTTGATGACTATCTGCATATTGGTGGAGTATAAACGCCGCAAGAAAATAATGACCATATTATCAATTGTAGCGCATTCTAGTGGTCCTTATCTATAGGTGCAAACGGTGAAAATGTAGTTCGAGGGGGCCACTCATAATATCTAATCAAAGGACAATATCTAATCGAAGTGGAATTGCGGAAGGGTGGTCTAATCAACATTCAGAGCCCAGGCTCTGAGCGTACGATTAGATAGGCTACCAACTCGAGATTCCGTACGAGATCTTCTACCTGGGTAACCCTTTCTCGAGGGCTTGCACGGCAATCGGATGAAGTTTTGGTGAAAGTGAAGAATAGCAAGTTAGCAGCGACAAGGATAACAAGTGGTCGTAGGCCACGGTCTCAGTGAAAGATATGATAAGATATGAGTGGCTTCCCGCAGCTCTACTTCGATTAGATAGGGTGCCCCCCCCCGAACTACATTTTCACCGGTGCAAACTTTATTTCCTGCCCTTTTTCCCACCCATCGCACCCTTGAATAATTCCGTATGTTGCGGCGGTACCTTGAAAATTTGCTTGAATTTTCGTCTATTCTAGCATTTGAAATGCATCAAAGCAACATCCGTAAAACGGGAACCTTCGTTGGTGCCTTCCCTTGCCAACCCACCTAATTTCATCCCCTTTTTATCCACGTACCCCTAACTATACCTATTGTAAATTACGACGTGTTAAATGTCTGGAGATGTTTTTGAAAAGTCTAAAATATTATAGCTCAAGAGATTGATTTTTAGATATTTTTTGACCAAAAATTACTAGCAGTCATACCAGGCATCGCCAATGACAGCAACACATCGTAGTTTACAGTCGGAATTCAGAAAGCAAAATTGAATGCAATAATGTGAGCGAAAGCAAGCAGCGTTACTGTCAGAAGCGTATTGCAATGTATGAATGCAGACAAATTTTCAATTTATTGAAGAAAATTGTCAATCACACTGCACAAAGCAACATTCTGACCATTTTCCTCCTATGCACCGTAAGTCATTCGTGATCGATCCGCCAGGCGTCACGATTGGAGCCGGTAGAGGCGTTCCAGCGTAGGAATCGACAGGAACAGGAACGGACGGCGGTTTAACGATCGGCACAGGATATCCTTCGACTGGTGGGGGAGCAGTCGGGTAGCTTGGGCGCACGATGATAGGTGGCTTTGGTGGTATTGGGTAAGTGGGAACAGGAGGAACTGGATAAGATGGGGGAGGAGGAGGTGGTGGTGGAGGAGGAGGTGGCGGAGGAGGCGGTGGCGGTGGTGGAGTCACATAGGTGGGTGTCGGTGGTTGGAACATATGTGGAAGGGCGAGGAGGAATGATGATAGGAGGTTTCACGGGGTACTGAGATGGAATAGGTGTCGCAGGTGGGATAAGGGGAATCGGAGGAGACACCGGTGGTGTCACTGGATGAGGTCCTAAGGGTAGGACTGGAGACGGCGGTGGAACTGAAGGAATGATCGGTGCGGGGGGTGCAACAGGAGGGAGTATTGGCGGAGAAGGCACTGGCGGAATCACAGGTGAGGGAGGTCCAAACAGGGGGGGCCCACGGCGGTGGGGGGGGTGGGGGGGTGAGTTTGGGCGGGAGAGTCCTACAGGTGAACCGCACTGGTGTGCGGTCGGTACAGTAGAGGCGGAGGACTGGTGTATGGGTGAGCAACGTGGTTGTACAATTTGCGGGGTGTGCAAGGTGCATCGGTACGGTGGAAACGGGCACAGGAGGCAATACCGGCGGGCCTCACTGGTTGTGGCGGGAATCCAGGCACATAGATAGGCGGTTGTATCCCTGGAGGCCTGACTACGAATGGGTGGGGGTGAAGGACTGTTTGTGTGGGTGGTGTGATAACGGAGGATAGCGTAAAGGAGGAGCTCGGTGGCGGTGTGGTGCGGGAATGGTGGTAGTGGGGTGGCTGAGGAGGGTGTGGGACACGTTGACTGGTCTGCCCGGGCATTCTCCACATTCACAGCAGACTGAAATGAAAATAGCTACGTCATGTTTTCCCAACATGTTTTGAATTAATCTGTCGTACTTTCGATCGCATTAAAGTCCTAAAGCCGTCTGGTTTTAGGTTTAGGCTCGCATCGCTTTTGCTATATCTTGCGGGCGGTTGCGCGGCTCGCTGGCGGTCTCGAGCGAAAACTAGTAAACGGTAAAGTGAGCAGCGTGGGGACGTGCCATGCACTTGGTCTCCGTTTGAGTGATGGGTTGCATGCGCACTGCTCCTTTCACCAAACAATGAGCGGTTAGGACCAATCAAGGAGGCACGCCAGGGGTCTCGGGTGATGCCTACGGTCAGACAAGTTAGCTATGAATAGCTCGCGCATGGGTTTTTTTGTTACCTGGGCAATCTTTCGGCTTCCCTAATAGCTGCCACTACTTCAGTTAAAGCTATTTCAACAGTTTCCTGATTATATCCTCAACATTGACTCTCAGAGAGTAATTCTATCGCCGTCCCCTTGCCGCGCCCATCATATGAGCGATATGCTATTGATAAGAATTCTCATGTTATCGATTAATAGTCATAATGACTGATCGTTGGCTAGAATTGAGGTCAGGTATTAAACTAACTCTTGATGTACAAGGAAATACCATTCGAAGTAACTCACGATGTTTGCTGCCAGGTCTGGGGTATATGGGCCCAAGAGGGCCAATTTTGCCATTTGGACCAATTCCGCCAATAGGTGGGTATCCACCAGTAATACTAAAACAGAAAGCCAGAGAGCGCAGCGTTGATGTTGTGCACTTCAGACTCGAAATAATTTTCTATGTGATATTTTTCACAACCGCCACGTTGTTCTCCCGCCACAAATGGGCGTTGCTTGAGTTCGCGGGCGGTCGCGTTGCGGCACTGCACTTTTCTATGGTTTGTATTGCGTCGTTTCCGTTTCAGTCACAGCCGTGTTTGCTGCTTAATCAAGAACGTCGAAAAAGTAGAATAATGAAACTTCTACTGTGGCGGCACCGCTACGCAAGCGCTCGCGTCAGCTCTTGTGAAACTCTTACGATCATATGGAAAGGCACAAGTTCTTCGATCGGAAATTTCGCGATGATGAATCGATTCTTAAAAAGCAGCACTCAAAAAATTTCCATGACTCACCGTCTGTGTTATGGGGACATTGATCGGCTTCATGAATTGCGCTCCCAAAAGTGGATTCCTCCTCGCGGACGCGTACGGTGTCCGTGCATATTGCGGTATTTGCGGTAGTTGCGGTACTTTGGTAAGCGGAACTCGTGCATAACCCAGTGCTGGTGTCGGATACAACGATCCATCAGCGGCCACTGAACACTCATTGCTTATTCGTAGCTTTATGAATGCGATTCTCGTTTTGAAAAAAGTGAGGAGAAGAAGTGAGGTGTACCTCCTACTAGTGGTATTGGCATTCCCATGGTTTTGGGATGGGGTTAGGAAGGGGATAAAGAGAGTGGTACAAAGGTAATTTCATAGGCCCAATTATTCAGTCGCTGATGAAGCCAGTGGGCGTGAGCGCTCGACGGTCGCCCCAAACACATTCTAAAGGCGGGTTCTGCCTGTAAGAAGAACTCGAGCGTAGTCCTCGTCCTTCAACATCTGTCAGGTCCCATACAAAAAGAATTTCATCACTTAAGGTTTAGGTGCGGATACTGTCACCGGAAATGTAACTAGATGTGGTAGTCCCAAAAATTTACCCTTCACATTAACCAAGCAACCAAGTGGCGAGCTTTATGATGCTATACAACTGAGCTTTGCGAATCGCTCAGCTTTTGCCCGTGAAAAGATCAGCTGTCCCACAGCTAATGCAGCGATGACGTGGAGCCGTAGTCAACACAGAGCTTTTTCTTTTGGCCTTGGAGTCGTAGGTAGGCATGGCGTGGGCACGAAGTTAGTATTGAAGATGGAGCTCATGAGGTGAGAGGGGGAAATGGTGAGAGATTTTAAAAACGGAATAGGACAGGGGATTTGAATACTGGGCAGAGGTGTTGAGAATGATCGTTGAGAAGCGTTTCAGTAGTTTGCTGGGAATCAAAGGCAGCGATTACGATAGTTTTCAAAAGGATTTAAAGGGATGTGGGGGGTGCAGTGGTATGCCAGTGGCAACAAAAAGCAGAAAAATTTGTCAAGAAAACGCAAAACAGGCCTCCTTTTTTGGCCGTTATGATCAGGTGGACAGCTCAGAAAGCGGACGTATGAACGAGTTCAGCGCAACGCGTTTGGTGACAGCATGCCAATCCATGCTACAGTCGAGTTGCTTAGTTGTGCCGCTGCTGGCAACGCAGCTCGTCCAAATCACCAAGTAAACTAGTGGGCGGATCGCTTTTGGGGGCGGAGTGCTTTCGAAGTCCTGCTCAGCAACCAGCGCACCTTTCGTCGTGAAAGCGCCACATCTCGCTTCCCAGCCAAGTAACTGATTCGTGTGGTGCATATGCTTCCCCGATGCGCTTCCCTCTTTATCGTAATCGCTGCCTTTAGGTTAAGGGGTGCTGATTAAGTCCACCAAGGCGTAGCGAAAATTAATAGTAGTTCGTGAATTGAAATCATTTCTTGATACTTCGGGGGTGACGGCTTAGTGAATGTGAGAAGAAGCGATGATGGCAGAAAAATTCAAGTATTAAACAGAGCTTCAGACAAAAGTGCAGAAGCGTTTCGGGGCCCGGAGTCCTTCCGTGCTCGTGTATCGGATCAGCGCGTCCCAGGAAAGCTTGACTAGGAGAGGCAAAGTAAGCAATGACTTATTCCGAGCCAAGATCAGCTCGCATCGTACAAAACGAGCTTCAAGGAGTAAGAAAACACGGAGAAGAAGAATCAAGGAACTACCGTAAAGAAGGAGTTTAAAAATGAAGTCATAAATAAAAGGAGTTACACTTTATTCGGATAATCAGCGGTATCGAGTCTGCGGCTCAAGTTACCAACCCAGAAATATCAAGCCCATGACATTGAAAGAACAAGGAGGGCGAAAACCAGCAATTATGAAGGAAAAAGCTGAACTAACCAATTTGGAAGACGACCAGCAGCAGGATGGCCGTTCTTACTGTAGCCATCGTGTTTCCGGGTGGGGGCGAGAAAGAATGACGGGCGTTCGAATTGATGGACGTTCGAGTACTGCACGTAACATGCGTGGGGCTATTTATAGGCGAAGATTGTAGGTAGTACGTGGTGAACAAAGCGATCGACGTTGAATCAGATACGGATGCGGCGTCGAACAATACCGGCGTACCAGAATACGACGGCACCGTTGTGGCACAACTCGACGCCCGTACGTACGGCCGCGGCGGTGACGGTGCTTCAGGAAGCCTCGCGTAAGTGCCAGCCGAAGATAATGGAACGTTTTTCGCTTCCGCTGGAACCATGAATTGTCGACCGCGGGTAGGGACCACATTCGGGAGCTCTGAGGGACTGCATCGGGTTGCTTCGAGCCAACGCGGCTTTTCGATGAATAATTCGATCACTTCCTCTTAGGGTGGATTGAAGTGATTGTTCGAAAGGAGAGGGTAATGATATCGAGAGTACGCCACGTAGATGACTTTTCAGAATTATTGTTGTTTGAAGGGGGTTGGTCAGGAATTTGAATTCCAAAGGGCCATCAATCTCCTTTTCAAGGAACGTGGCACATTTTTACTTCGCTGGAGCCTCGTGTGATCATCTAGACCACACAACTACTTGCTGAGCGTAGCCGATACGTCAGTAATTGTGTTCCCAGACAGTTCTGAGTTCTGGTACCTTTGGAACGTTCTATGTATGTAATGGAGAGTTAGGAGTCTGAAGATTTGACCAAATGACTGCTTGAATGAGCGTGGTACATTCATTCACATCGAGTTTGGGATTAAAGGCGGAGTTTGCGATGAAAAAGCAACCCATCAGAAGTCAAGGTAGAGGGGGTTAGTGGCGCAGGGATGAAGAAAATCGGAAAAATTGGCCTAATGGGACCCCTTATCTGTACGTTGCTTGCCTGTATTGGCGAGGCTCCTCATTGGTGCTGCCTTCTTGACACGTGCGTTCTTGGTGCGTTGACACTATTTCTGCTAAACAGCTAGAGTCAGACGGCGAGAGGGTGGGCGTGCCGCGTGCGGGACGGTGCGCGCCCCGCAGCGACAAGTATGGCCCCTCAAGGTCGATGGGCCATACTTGTCGCTGCGGGGCGCGCACTGTCCCGCACCCTTAGGAGTTTCGCCTGCCTTTCGACTTGGTATGTTTCCCCTTCTTCCACCTCCGACCTTGTTGTGGAATCCTCTTTCGAATGCTAATACATTCGGCGTTGATTGACTCATTTTAAAATGTCCTGGATTAGGAGGGGGAGGGCTAGACAAGGTACAAATGTTGAGTGCACATTGTCTTGCCTCCGAGATTCGTTGCATAAGGGGGCCAGGCCAAATTGTCCTTTTATCCTGCTAAGCTTGTCTTTCACTGATAAATAGAGCTCTCAGGTATGGAAGGTTTGATTGGCCGCGACGGGGTACGATCAAGGGGTTTGCTCGTTGCTGGACCGTGTGTGAGCACCGCACTTGCCACTACATCAATTCCTTATGAGATATGGTGAAGCAATGTGT